GAGGGCACAGGGTGAGTTGAAGATTAAGGGGTCATATCTGGAGAATAAAATTAAGGGATGAGAGAGGATTATACTCAGAGAAGAAGAAAGGGAGAGGTAGAATGGGGTAAATTTTCTCAAAAAAAAAAACAAAAGAAAAGTCTCTTGCAGTGGAGGGGAAACGGGGGAAGGTGAGAGGGAATGAGTAAATCTTATTCTCATCGGATTTGGCTTAAGGAGGGAATAACATACACATTCAATTGGGTATGGAAATCTGTCTTACCCTACAGGAAAATAGGGGGAGAAGAGGACAAGAGAGCAGGGGGATGATAGAGAGGAGGGCAGATTGGGAAAGAGGGTAATCAGAAGCAAATACTTCTGAGGAGGGACAGGGTCAAAAGAAAGAAAAGAATAAATGGGAGAGCAGGATAGGATTAAGAGAAATAGAGTTAGTTTTTCACAACATGTCTGCTATGGAAGTGTTTTGCATAACTGCACACGTACAACCTATATTGAGTTGCTTGCCTTTTCAATGAGGGTGGGTGGGGAGGGAGGAAGGGAGAAAATTTGGAACTTCAAGTTTTAAAAACACATGTTTTAAAAAAAATGTTTTCACATGCAACTGGGAAATAAGAAGTACAGGAAATGGGGTACAGAAGTCTATCCTGCTCTACAGGAAAATAGAAGGGGAAGGGGATAAGAGAAGGGGAGAGAGATAGAAGAAAGGACAGACTAGGGGAAGGGATATTCAGAATGCATGCCATCTTGGGGTGGGGGTAAGGGAGAGATGGGATGAAAATTTGGAATTCAAAAACTTGTGGGAGTGAATGTTGAAAACTAAAAATAAATAAATTTATATTAAAAAAAAAAGGTCAGTGACCAAAAGAAAGGCTTCCTATACACCAGAATGTTTGATTCTTATTGTGGTAGCAAAGGACTAAAAACAAAATAGAGCTCATTGACTGGGCAACAGCTAAACAAACTGTGGTACAGGAATGTGATGGGACATGACCATGCTGTAAGAAATGACCAGTGTGAGGAATTCAGAGAAGCCCGAGAAAACTTAACATGGACAGCAAACTGAATATGAAAGTGACGTCAGCAGAGCCAAGAAAACAAACTACACAATGACTGAAACGATGACCATGGAAAGAAGCACCACAAAACAACAACTGAAACTGAATATTGCAAAAATATCAAGACCAAGAGATACGAGAAGTCAAATTGACAAACATTTATCAAACACCTATTATGGGCCAGGCACTGTGCTAACCCAGGATACAAAGAAAGGCAAAAACAGTCCCTGCTCTCAAGGAGCTCACGGTCTAAAAGGGAAGACCAGATGGAAACAACTATTTACAAACAAGACATGGACAAGATGAATTTGGTGTACTCAGAGAGAAGGCACTAGAATTAAGTAAGGGGTGGGGGGAAGGCTTTTTGAAGAAGACAGGGTTTTAGCTGAGACTTGAAGAAAGCCAGGAGGAAGAAATGAGGAGCAAGAACACTCCAGACATGAGGAAAGGCCAGTGAAGATGGAACGTCTTGTTTGAGGAACATCAAGGAGAACATGGGAAAGGAAGGAAGGGCTCCCCTCATTCCACTGCGCAAGTTGAGGTCGATGGGTGTGCAACACTGCAAATAATGTCAGTGTTTTTCAATGTGTTGATAGTTTTTTTTCCTCTTTTTCATTAAAAAAAGCTTTATTATAAATGATAGCTCTCTGGGAGGGGAAAGGGGAATCAAGAGGACATAAAAATGAAAGGCATCAATAAAAATTTATTTTAAAAAAAAGTCAACTTCAGCAAATGGGAAAGCTAGATAAAAGTATTTCTTCAGTTCAACAAGCATACATTAGGAGTGCATTGTGTACAAGGCTTCTATGAAGCCTTTCTCATGACACTATGGAGGTGCCCCTGAGATGCTGAAGGCTACCCAGCAGGCAGAAGAGCTAGCCAGTCCCAACCAGTTGGAAAAACTTCTAACAGGCCCCCGAATAGTACTGGCTGCATATAGACCCCCAAGGAGGTCACAGGATCTGAGACACAGAGCTGGAAAGGGCCTCAGAGGCCATCTGGTCCAACCCTCTCAGTTTGCAGAGGAGGAAACTGAGGCCCAAGGAGGTGCACCTACAGGCCAAAGGTCACACAATTTGGTGGGCAAAAACTAGAAATCAAGTGAGTAGCTGAGGGGAAGATAAACAAAGTGGAATATAAATGGAATGGAATATTATTGCCCCACAAGAAGAGCCAAAAATATGACGAATTCACACTTGTATGAAATGATACACAACAAAGTAAGCAAAACTAGGAGAAGAATAGATGCAAATAAAAACAGTAGCAAAAAAAGACAAACACAAATGAATTACAATGATCAATCTTGGTCTTGGAGGAAAAATGAGTTAGCACATGTCCTTCCTTCCTCTCTGCTGCATGTGGTGCCAATATTTGACTGGATGGTTGTATTTGGTTTTTACAATGAGAGTTCAATGTGTAGGTGATGGGGGGATGGAATATAAAAAAATTATTATTGTTTTAAAACTGCTTCAATACTACTTGGAATAATAAAATAAAAGCTTGGTAAACAATATTGGTAGCATTTTTTTTTAAATAGCACAAGCCATTGTTTGAGGAACAGCCTACTCAGAGAACTGGCCGGCAGTATTCCACAAGAGCCAGCACCTCAAATATCTGTATCAGTAAGGAAGGGCACCTACAGAGCTCCGAGTAACAAGAATTGTTCTAAGCATGTATAAGGTACTGTTCTAAGTGCAGAGAGACCACGCAGTCAAGTGCGCAAAGCAGGCTGGAATGCAGGGAGGAAATGGGGGTTCAAACGCCAGCTCTAACTCATGGGACAAGTCACCTAACCTCTCTAAACCTACTGCCTTTTCTGCAAAATGGGCACAATAATAACAACAACAAATAGTTGGAAACAACTTCCATGGACAGATATCTAACCTGCCCTACATCTGATCAAGACTCTCCTCTATGCCATACTGGGCAAAGGGTCACCCAAATCTCCAATGGGTGGGTAGAGGAAGGTGTAAATGAAATAATTGTCTCCAAAGGTAACCCATGCCACTTTTGAGCTCATGCTCAGTTGTTAGCACAGCTCTTCCATCCATTGCTCCTACCTCCCAGACCCAACAGTAGCTCATATTTATTTAGTCCTAATTTAAGGTTGACAGTTTTTCCTTCTAGTAGCCCTAGGAAGTAGGTAGCATGATTGCTATAAGGAAGTTAAAGCAATGGCAGGTTTTGCATGGAAGTTGAATTTAGAATGTTTGATGTGTTGGTGGTGGCCAAGTGGACAAATGTGCCCAGCAGACAAATGAAGATGCAGGAATGGAAATTTGGGGAGTTCCTGGGGATGGAGATTTAGGAATCATCTGCACAGAGTCTAGAATTGAAACCCTAGACTGAATGAAAGTAGAGACAGAAGAGAAGGGGGCCAAGGATAGAGCATTGAGAGAATACCTATATTTTAGGTAAAGAAGAGAAACCTGTGTCGGGGGGGGGGGGGTCATAAAAGTAGCAGGAGAACCAAGAGAAATCAATGTCAAGTAACCCAAAGGGGGAGTCTATCCAGAAGGGAAGGAGTGGTTAACAGTGTCAAACACTTTAGAGAGGTGAAGGATGAAGAGGGGAGGAAAAGCCTGCAGATTTAGCAGTCAGGAGATTATTGAGGGGCAAGATGCACACTATCACACTGCTGGCAAAGCAATTTGGAATTATACCCCAAGAAGTCACTGAACTATGCCTGCCCTTTGACCCAGTCAATACCACAACTTTGCATATGTCCCCCAAAGAGGTAAAAGGCAGAGGCAAAGGATTCATATGGACCAAAATATTTCTAGCCCCAGTTTTTGTTGTTCTGAAGAACTGAAAACAAAGAGTGTGCCCATCCATTGAGAACTGGTTGAAGTTAGAAGAATCAGGAGAACAATTTCTATAACGAGCACAATAATGTGAAAGAAAACAAATAGGAAGGCCTTCAGTACTCTGCTCCAAGTCAATGACGGATGGGAAAACTGCTCCTCGGCTCTTGGCAGAATGAGCCAGGCCCTTACAGACACAGCCAACGCATCCATTTGTTTTACTTGACTATGCTTTGTTACAAGAAAGGCCTTTTATTTAGGGCGAGCCAGTGGGAGTTAGTGCCAGTGGGGTGAAAAAAAACAAGAAGCAAAGAACATCAATGAAACATTTACAAACACACAGAAGAGAGCAGAAGCAAATTCAGAAGGGGGACCTGACAAACTACTACTATTATTCAATTTACTATAAACTTTAAAATATAATGTAATAGGCATTCCCAGTTTCATACACAATTCTCTTCTGTTCTTTATATACCGAAATATTCAAGTTTGTGGCTGCTTGCTAATGAAATAACAGTAAACAATTTTAAGTGAGATTATTGGTAACTTGGAAAAAGCAATTTCAGCAGAGGGGTGGGGTTAGGAGCCAGGTGCAGGACTTAACATTTATCCCACTCACTTAAGGTAGCTAATCTTTTGATGGTAGATGGAGGAGGGGAAGCAGAGATTGTGGGTAATTTGATTATTGCATGCAGGTCCCCATTATAGGTTCAAACATGCAAAGAAAGTTCCATTTTTACAAACAATAAGGCATTTGTCAACAAAAAGGCATAGCTTTGTAACATTATTTTAACCCAGCATTATGGAGTCTCCTCTCACAGATTTTTCAAAAATCAAAGCATAACATTAAATGCAATAACTAAGAAGTCCTAGACAAAGTCAGGAGCCCAGGATCTCAAACTAGACTACGCCACCATTTTTGCCTGAACTCAACCAAATACACCCTTCCCCTCATAGCTCCATATCCTTTGACCTTATAAATACAGACACAACCTCCAAGTCTCACAAGACAAACAAGATTGGTTAATGTTCTCAAAATATTTCTCACATGGAATTCACTTCTCTCACTAGTGTTTAAGCAATGACATATTCCTAGGAAAAAAGCAGTCTTAAAATAGCAAGTAAACAAAGGCAATCTAACCTGAGGTGGCTATTCCCAATTCCAGAGTCTTTCCACGATTACCAGGAAAAGCTGCTGTCTTCAGATCTCTTCAGGCCAAAGCCAGAGTTCAGGGTCAGGTGTTCATTGGCAAGTAATGAAGCTGAACCAAACAAGAAGGAAGGGGGAGAAAACCTTCCCTTTAGTATGGGGTTTAGAGCTGGAATCATCTATTCTAATCACCTCATCTTACAGCAGGGCAATTTGAGGCCCAGAGAATGAACTGGCCTAAAGCTCACAAAACAAGGTAGGAAGAGTCATGGGATCATTGGACATCAGCACTAGAATGGACCTCAGAGACCATTATGTCAAAAGATCATGAACTGGAAGGTCACCTAAGCCAACTCTCCCATTTTGCATTGGAGGCAACTGTGACTGAGAGGGGGGTACGTGGCTTTCACAAAGTCACACAGGCCCACATCACACTTTACAAATATTATTTCACTTGATCCTCATGACACCCCTATTAGGCAGGGTCCCTATTTCACAGTCAAATGACTTGCCCAGGGTCATACAGCTAGGAGGTATCAGAGTTGGGATTTGAACCATGATCTCTCTTTGACTCAAAGTTCAATGCTCTTTCTATGACACCATGTTTGTTCTATTCCCTAGGAGGTAGATCCTACAGGTATAATCAATACCATTTTGAAAATAAGAAAACAGGCTTTTAGGGGTTAAAAAAAAGGTAAGAAAACTTTTCATTCTAAGGGAAAGGGCTCCATCGGGAGGAAGAATCAGAGTCACCTGATCTAAATCACTGCAGTGTTTATTTAGCTGGAAATGTTAATTTTCCTCAAGTCAAATTAGTTGAAGAAAAACTCTTTCTTCCCAAGTGAGTCCACCTCTAAATATTTGGGACACATGCTGAAAGGACCTACACCAAGGCCTGCAAAGAAATGACTGCTGAAATGAGTGAGCTGGCTACCCCAGGAGAACAGCCTGGGACTGAGGCCAACCCTGACCCCAGGGAACTGAGAGGCTTCCAATGATCCACACAGTTTCTTGGCATTTTCAAGGACTCCTGGAAAGAGAGAAAGTCATCAACTTCACTGAAGAATCTACAAACAACTGAACTGTCTCTGGGTTTCCCAGCTCTTGGAACTGGGCAAGGAACCACAACCTTAAGTTGTGAAATAAACTCTGCAATTTCACGTGTCCATGGTAATGGAGCAGGGCCCATGGGAGTTCAATCGAGTCATCCATGATCTTCACAGTAATGTAGGTGCCACATAGCACTTCAGACCTCAGGCCTACCTCGGACTACTTTCTCCCCTAGCCACAGTCTGATGCAGAGCAGAGACTAGATCACATGCAAACAGTTAGCAAATGCCTACTACTAGGGCTAGACCCTGAGATAAGCCCCACCCCTCCAGGATCCCACATTCTACTTGGGGAGAAAGGGATGAGAACAATACAACATGCACATAGATAAGTAAATGTAGCCTTTAGGAATAACAGCCCCAACTTTGCAGGGCAAATCTTCCAGCAAATCTACCCCAGGATCAACATACTCTGTGGGGCCACATGTACTCAAAATCACTGTCCACAAGCCCCCACTCGTGTGTTTACTTTTACTGGTCTGCCAGAGAACACAATTAGTTCAAATTGAGGGCATTTAATGAATGATCCAGTAGGAAACATAGCCATAAAACATTTCCCCCAGAAACATGAGAAATACTCTCTTGAAAATTAGCAAGCTTAGTGAGAAAAGTGGGCATGCACTGGGAGAAGACACGGTGAGACCTATAGCCAGTGAACACACATGGCCTAAGTAAATTCATGGAGGTGTGCACACATAAGGAACACATGTTTGGGGTATACACATGAAATGGGAACTCCCCCGCTTGAATCTCCTTCAGCCAGGCTTGCTCCCCACTAGTCTTGTGAGGCACACAGTCTCCTCTGGGCCACTGCTCAGCCATGATCCTTCTGGTCCCAGCTGGTCATCACCATTGGTGGTGGCTGCACTTGGGAAGCTTCTCTCTCCTTCCAGCCTCTGTCTTTAGCTAGAGCCTTCAGACAGTGTTTTCATGGCTCCACTTTTTGAGTGTAGAGCTCTCTATGGCTCAGCCCTTCTCACATGCAGCCACCTGATTAGGGAAAAGAAAACCTCTGCATTTTTCTTCTCCCCCTCCTCCGTGAAGAGTAAGAAGTCTGACTATTCCCTTCTAAGCTTTTGTTAGGAGTTCACTTTCCGGACACCAACCAGAGCAGGGCCAGGGCCTTGGGACTTAATTTTACCTTTTGACCTCTACTTCCTAGCTCCCTGGTCCCTGGAGCCAGCTCACTAGCTTAGGGCCAGCAAGTCTATCTGGCTCCCTATTTCCCCAGAAGGTAGCCAAATTACATCTAGTCATTGTCCATGCCCATGATGCTCCAGCAAACTGCCGAGGACTCCAGACTTTCCATCCCCCAGTTTCTCAATTCTAAAACTCTTTCTCTCTCTAAAAGCTGAATGAGTGACAGGGGGAATGGCACAGAAACAAAACTAAGCCCAGGGGGAAAAGGTCTTTATCTTCCCCCTCACTAGCCCCATTCCTGCTTTTCTTATGTAAATGTGGCCAGCTAAGGCTTTTCAGGCTCAGAGCCTTCCCTCAGAGAAACACAAAGTTTATGCAAAGTAATTTCTAGAAAGAGAAAGCACTAACTGGGATGGAAAGGTAATCCTGGGCCAGCTTCCAAAGGGAGCCAGGGATTCTCACTGGGCAGAGGAGTGGAAGGAGTGAGATACAAAGACAAAAAAGGAAAGAGGCCCTGCCCTTGAGCTGCTTATATTCCTAGATGGAGAGCTGGAAGGGTTCTTTCATTTTCTGGAGACGAAACTGAGGCCCAAGGGAGGCTACCTGCTTTGCCAAGGTCACACAAGCTTTAAATTGCCCAGGTAAGCCTTGAACTCAGGCCTTGTGATTCTAAATTCAGCATTCCACCAACTGTGCTACAGGGCCTAATTTCAGGGGTGGGGGAAGGAGAGGAAATCCGGGAAGGCTTTCAGAAGGCTACCCAAGGAGCCTTTCAATGGAGCACTCTCTGGGGGGGGTCTTAAGGAGGGAGGGCATTCTAAGGCACGGTGGATGACTTTTGCAAATACAAAGAAGTAGGACACACGATGTCAAGTTATGAGACCATATGGTAGGCCTGTTAACAGGAAGTTAGCGATCCCAATAAATTACAGGAATATGCAAAGTAGAAAAGAGGTGCTGAACCAGAATGCTTTGGCCAGGCTGCCGAATCTACCACTTGACACCTGTACCATTTCCCCCTTTTCAAGCCCCAACAAAGGGGAAAGGTCTAGAGGTAGCTGAGCTCACCCAGATGTAGGGAACAGGTGATGGGGAGGTGGGGGTTACAACTACTCTGCTCTACATATGAAACAGTAAGAAGTGTGGTATAAAGCAGAGTCCTGAGGTAGAGAGTTTCGAAGGTCCATCGGTGTCAGAAGCAGCAGCAAGGTCAAAGTTGTCAATCAAAACAAGATCGAAGAGGAGGAGGCCAATAAAAGGTCACTTAAATAGCCAGGTCGGGCCTGGCACACAGTCAACACTTATTAAATGCTTATTCCCTTCTCTTTCCCTAATAGGTGGAGGTGAGAAAGGAAAGCATTCCAGACATGAGGGACAGCCAGTGCAAAAGCTTGGAGATGGAAGGTGGAGGGTCCTATGGGAAGAACAACAAGAAGATCAGAATGGCTGGACCACAGAGAGTGTGGAGGAGAGTAAAGCGTAGCATACTGGAAGGACAGGTTGTGAAGGTCATCTGGCATCTGCCTCAAGACCTCTGATGTGAGAGCCCAGCCCCTCCCAAGGCAGCCCATTCCCCTTTGGACAGGGATAATCATTAGACAATTATTCCTGAGGTCTGATATAAGATGATCATTGATACAAGATGAGGGAGACAAGGCTAGTTGGCAGTTCTTCTATTTCTGAATGACTATGTGACTGCAGGAAAGTCATTGAGAAGGGCCCCTCATTGGCAGATTTCAAACTTGTAGGCCTCAAACCATTTGGAGGTTTCTGTCCCATCCTGCAGTTTTCCCTGCTCTACTCTTGCCTGTGGCTAAGGTAGCCTTTATTTGGTTAGGTTGGTGAAGCCTCATCATAGATGAGTGCTGTGGGTACCACAGGCCTCTGCTCTCCCTGGAGCCCAGGACACAAGACATCCCAACCCAAAGCCAGAGACTCAGACTCCTAAGTCTGGACAGGGCACCCACATTAGCAGGGTAACTCAGTCACTCACTTGAACAGAGCCTGGCAAAGGAGAGGAACAGGCTGTGGTCTTCTCCTACCATTCCAATATCAAGATGTGTCATTTAGCAAAGGTATGTGAAGACAGTGGAGGACCATGAAAGATACACCAGGAAGGCTTTACAATCAGCCATAGTGGGGAAAACCTGAATTAATCACACAGAAAATACCAAGAGCTGGATGAACCCTCAGAGGTCATTCAGTCCATTGCTGCCAATTTCAAACAGAAATTGACCCTACTAAAAAGGACGTAAGGATGCTTGCAGGCCACCTATTGACTTTGTTTTAAAATGTCATGTTATCTACATTTTTGGTATCTTTCTTTATTTTGCTCACTATTTCCCAATTACATGATGATCTGGTTGGGCTACACTCAGGAGTGTTAGTAGTGAGGTGTTTGACACCTCTCCTGGCCTGAACAAGTATCCACTGAACAGCCCCCAAGAAGCCAGCCTTTGCTTGAAGATCTTCAGTGATGAGGCTATCCTTACCCTTTGGGATAGCTTCCCTAAGCAAGTTGTTTGCTAGATCAAATCTACCTCTCCCCAACTTTTACCCATTGCTCCTAGCTCCCGAGATCAGGAAGGAGATCAGAGATTTAAAGCTGGCAAGAACTTTAAGAGGCCATCTAGGCCAAATGAGGAACTGGGGCTTAGAAAGGTAGAGCAGCTTGTGTGCCCAAGGTCACACAAAGGATAGGCTTTGAATCCAGTTATTCTGACTTCATATCAGAACAAATCTAGTGCTTCTTCCATATGACGGCTCTTCAAACACTTGAAGATTAAGATGTCTTGCCTAAATTCATTTATTCCACAAGCATTTATTATGCACCTACTATGTACCAGGCTGGAGATATAAAGAC